AAATATCTAGGTATGTTTTAGAAAACAATCTTGAAAGCGTATCAAAGATGAACTGTTTGATGTGAGCTTTTGCATTGTGTACTAATTTCAACATCTGCTTAATTAAAATATTATATTTTTTTTTCTTTTTGCTAAAGTGTAGCTACTACATGTTTATAAGACAAACATTATTATTCGGATTTTTATTTGGAAATATTACAATGAAACGTAAAATTCGACAATGAAAAAAGCTTTATATACACGCTAGAAGGCTATATCGATCCACTTATTCGGACGATGGATAAGGATGATGATAATTAAAGTTCCTAAAATATATTGTTGGGTTCTACTATAACACTTATAATGAATTTCAGCCCCACCCTAAATTCAATTAAAATTGATGGTGCATGCCTACGCATATCTTAAACGTAAAAAATGTTCTAATGAGTCAGATATTTTACACAGGTAATTTCCAAAACGTCACGAAGTGAGATCTGTTATTCTGACAATAACACTATTAGAGTCATTAAAATTCGTCGAGTCACGGAAATCCAAGAAAATATCTACAAGAAAGCTCATTTTATCTATTTAATAAAATGTAAAGTAACGCAATTATAGCTCACTTGAGCACAAATGATTGTGACAAAAATCTATTGCTATCACTGAATTATGTTGGTGGATTTTTTCATTTTTTTGTGAACCAATAATAATGATACGAGTATGTCGGTGTATACTCGTTTTCATATTAATGTGCACCGAAATAGTCGTTGAAAGAGATCATTTTAAGGTGACAAACATGCAAATCATTTTTTTTACGTTTCGATACCTTTATTGTATCTTCCTCAGGCTACAATTTAGGCGTTTAGTTTTTATGCAACGAATTTAATGGTTTTATTTATCTTTTGTCCTGTATACCATCTTCGACGAAATCAAGCTCTTAAATTAAATCAAATAAAAAAATATTTTTTTACACATTATATTTTAAAAATTAGAAACTATTTTAAGTTTGCCATGATAAGTATAGTGTTGTTAACACTTTTTATCACATGTGTGCAATGAAATTTCTAATCAAGGTGGCTTATGACTATGACCTATGACTTTGAAACTAACGCAAGTTATAGCTTGTTCCAAATCTGATGGCGAACTGACGTCTTCAAAAATGACTGAATTTTGACACTAAACATATGTTTACTATTAAAAAAAATATTGTTCATAGGCGCCGTATGAAATAATATTTCAAAACCACTGTTATTCTTTAAAAAAATATAATAAGTAGGTACCCGTACATAAGATAAAGAATGATGACCAAATTATTAAATGGTTAACGCATGAAAAGAATTTTCAAAAATGATATTCCTAACAATCCTTGTCTTCAAAATTTTTAGAGAAAAAATTACGCCCATGTATTTTTTTATCCACCAGATATGGAATAAGTTCTAGCAATATTGAAAACAGAAAATACAAGATTTTCACTATTCCCAACTTAATTTCAAAGTTATTGGTAACTTTGATTAGAAATCTATTTGGACGAAAAGCATTTTGTCATATTAAATGTTAACTATTCAACAGCAATAACAAGGGTTTTTATTATTTTATCCATGCACTTTGCTGTTATATTTCAATAAATTGTAGGTATCATTAAAAATTTAGCATCTAGCATCATAAAACGTTGATTAAATTCGATAAATGGAAAACACTAAATCTTCACAGTTATACAGGGGGTTCCGTCAAAACCCCACATTAGAAGTATTAGAAGTCCGAATAATCGTATTTATTGGAAAATTGGTACATAGCTATAATCCATTAAGTCCTCCTAAATGAAAATATTTGCAAGATGGCGGCACTTTCAGTTATACCGAAAGTCGGTCTCAACTTTCTTATTTTAAATGGAAAGCTATATTTATATTACGTTTTTGGATTAATCGAGTTATTTTAAGTTATTTTTATTAGCTTTCCCTATACCTAAATTTAACCGTTTTTGAAATATTTGGAGTTTTTCAAAAATTTTTGGATCTGCACCTTTCAATTTAAAAATCGGTAACTTTACCATTCTTTAAAATTTTGGATTTGTTTTTTTTTGCGTTTAAAAGAGAAGGCTTAGATCTTTCTTCAGGGAGTTTTCAAATTTTGAAAAAAAAAAATACCGAAATTTTAAGGTTACTTTTGTAATAATTTAAATATCCATAACTCAATTTTTCCAAATGAAGTACCCCAATTTTTATTTTACTAAATGGAAGAGAATTTAATTCTGCATGGATCTGTACTAACATTCCGTATACCTAAATTTAATTATTTCAAGTTATGGTGACTTTTTGTTAAGACTGCGGGAAATCTATTACTAGCAACACCTGTTTTCGCATAGTTTGCTATGGAAATCAAAAATGTCAAAATTGTTTCTGAATAAATGTCTACAGTGAATTATTATTTGACAAATAGTGCCAAAATATGGAGAATCAAATCTACTCAAACTTAGATTTAATGAATTTATTTTGTATTTATGGAGAGTGTAACAAAGTTATGAGCAGAACATGATGTTGTTCATTAAACAAATAAAAATAATAAATAATACTGGCTACTTGAACTAATATCTTGCGATCACTTGAATTGATAATAATTATAGTAGGCTTTTCTAGGTTTTTGGTTCGTATGAAAACGGTGATTATCATAGTTAATCAAGTTGAAGAGTCAAATAATAAGATTTCGGTAATATTTATTTAGAATACTTTTTTCCTTCAGTTTGCATTAGTTTATCATTCATAATTAATTCATAATTAATTAATTCATAATTAATTATAAATTAAAAGGATCGCATGGTAGAACCTATCAATAATAATTAAGTTTGAGTAACTTTGATTCTCCATATTTTGGCATTTCTAATGTGGGGTTTAGACGGAACACTCTGTATGTTCTTCATCTTAAACGGTCTGTGGAAGGTTTTGATATATTTATGTCTTCTTGATTTTACGCCATCCTCCACCCAGCATCACCGCAAAACTATCAGATTAAAACCATAAATTCAGCAAACCCTTGCTATATTAAAAATTCATCTCCGTGCGTGGCGATCGTGAGCAACATTTGCATGTCTGCTTATAACTTTAAACGAGTGATCCATTTTAAATGCTTATCAAGATTTATGGTAAAATTGTGAAATAAGAAAATGAGCGAACCGACACGATATCCTAAGAGGTCACTCTTGGTTTTTACAATTTTAGGGAGACTAATGAAATTACCTAACTTGTTTCGAGTTAATTCCTGATGGGATTAATTAAAACTGATTTATGTGCAAAGTGGATTATGCACAATTAACGAATATTATGATTGATTAGGTACATTGAGAAGTTACTATGTAATTTATCGTGCCATTGAGAAGATCGATTCACGAACAAAGTCGGTTTCTTTATGTTTCAAGTTCAATGCATGCAATAAAGATGCCCAACTTTTCTGTCATAACATGACATCGCCAGAATGAGCATTGAAACGATTAATCATGCCAAATGGAATTTTAGCGAATAAAAAGGACATTTTTTCACTCATCTTCAGGAAGCTGTCAGTGAATAAAGAATGTTCGAATTTCCTCGCTTTTTAAATAAATAAATTAATATGGCTGCCACTTACAGGAATTCCCAAGTTCTACCTCGTAAAAAAATCTTACAAAACCATTTTGTGTAAAATATGGCTAGTTTTTTAATAAAGCCGTTTAAATTAAAGTCCTGTTAAAATGTTGTTTTTACAATAATTAATGACATTGCCAGATTGTGTGCAAAATCTTTAAACTCTTTAATATCTGAAACTTGGCGCACCCTTTCCTATTCGTTTTCGCCAAACAATCATTTGTGATAAAGAAAGAGATTTTATTATACAGGGTGCGCCAGAACTTGCGCCCCAGAGAAAAATGCCATATAAGGTAACATACCAGGAACATGGAAAAAATGTTAAAAAAATTTTATCTATAAAAATTTCGAAGTTATGAGGGTTTAAAGTTTGCACTTTGACTTTATTTATTTCTGTTGTAAAAATAATTTTCCAAGTTTTTTTGCTATAGGCTATTAAAAGAGGAAACAAGGAAGCTATATCCTAAATTGTAACTCTGTTCAATGTTATTTGTGGCTTTTATTAGCAAAATTTTTGTTCCTTGTTGTAAAAAAAACATATACAAGATCATTAAATAGATATAAAAAATGTCAAATGTCAAAAAATAAATGTCAAAATTTTTTGACAGATAGAATTTTTTAAACATTTTTTTCATGTTCCTGGTATCTTATCTTACTTGAAAATTTTCTCTGGGGCGCGAGTTTTGGCGCATCCTGTATACACTACCTGCTTAACTGAAGAATTGTAATGTTTTGTTTATTTACCAATTATACATTTGTAAAACTTTTCTACAGTAAAAAATAATAGTTTGGCTAATATTTTTTTACGATTACTTTTTTGATCAGATTTTTTGCAGAATGGATTACAAAAATTACATTTCGCGGTAACTCTATTCCAAAAAATCATCTTATGTATTTTTCTGTTTAATTCTGATTAGTTTCACTTTATTTTTACTTTTACTCTAAACGTAAGCATTTGTGAGTGGTTAAACGAAAAGAGACCTGAAGGAATTGTAAACTGATTTCTATTTTATTGAGAAAGTTGGGCAATTACTTCATATCAGTTTTTAAATAGAACAAAAATAATTAATGAAATGTGTATTCTTCATTACTTGTTTTCTGACTTTTTTTTGTAAAACACTTGTTTTATTTATAAAAAATGTCACCTTTATTGCGATGTCTTCAATTTGCTCATTAGATTTTTCAGAAATTACGGAAAAACTCTTACAATACTAAGTAGTTATTGCACTGTGGAACTTTTCAATTAACTTGCCTAACTTAAAATAATATTAATCAAGTTTCTGTTTTACATTTTCGAATATAGGTAAACATTTTCGTTTCATTATGTTTGTGTTAAAAATTTTGTTTATTATTATTTACTGTTTTACAGTTAGAGGAACTTTCCTTCAATGGATTTCATTTTAATTTCAGGAAAACTATCCCATTAACAGTCATCGAAGAAGACAGCTACGAAAAAGACGTGTTATTCTACGTCCAATTAGGCGAGCCTCAAATGTCTGGTGGTAAGGATTTCATTAAATGTCAGTGTCGTCCTCTCTTCATACAAATTCTTTTTCATACTTTCTTCTGCACTTCTTCTAACTTCTCGGTCACGTTGATGCATGTTATGTAAGTAAAAGTGTTTTTCGTTTCATTTTCTCTACTTTTTAAAATTAAATGCTAAATGCACAATTTATCACTCGATTACCCTCTCAGACGTGACTGTTTTTCGCTTATATATCTGGGTTTTATCTGTGGATTGTTATTGAAACCTCGCTTGCTCGAAAATTTCAAATTAAGCGGATCAAAGTTTTGAAAGGATGAAAAGTTTAAAATTTTAATAACCCACAGTCAATTGATTTGTTACAAATTACCGATAAAAGGGGATATTACAAAACATAAATTTTAGATTTTACCATGGCTGCATTTGCAACTGTTTGTGTAACATGCTAGTGGCTAGAATGCAATTGGGTAGAGCGTGGGCAATTTACTTAAATATTTAAATGACTTAAATGTGACAAATGTTCTTTTTAATGATTATTCACACATGTGATGATACAAATTAAATGTTAAATAAATTACAGGGTATTATAAAAAGCTATAAAAATATTCAACAATAACTATTTAAACTTAAAATAGTCAGTTAACAACAAAATCTAAATTGATGAGGAAAATATTCCTTAGATATATTAGGTTAAGTAAACATTTCTTACTGTTTTTCGAAACACATTTTTACGTTTAGTTTGACAAATTTATTGCGTTATACGAGAATTTTTTTTAAGTCAGAACTCCCAATTTCTTGAATCTCATTCATAAAGGAAAGCTATACAGAAATCATTTAATTTTTAAAATGTTTTTAAACAGATTCTTAATTTTTGTTAAAATGTTTCAAGATTTTAAAATTTATTACCTTAATGTTATACATTCGTTTTTGGGTTACTGTTTTTTCTTACTGAGTGTTTGTCAAATTGTATATTGCATTATACCCATAACATATTTTCTAAAAATCGGAATCACCGAAGTTTCAAAGTGATTATTTTATAAGATAGATTTGCTTACTTATTCACTTATTACGAGACGTTATGGTGGAGGCGCCGGGCACAGATTCTTGGCGCCTCCGCCATAATGTCACGTGTCTGACAAAACGAGTCTTTTACTATTATTTATTCAAAACGAAACTACAAGCAAAATTGTGATCGTGATACTTAAATACGAAGGCACTTTTCCTCATCTTATATTCTCTTTCTTGAGAACATTTTTCTCGTTTAATAACGATGTTTTAGTGACCTTCTAGGTATTAATTTTTGTTTTTTAATGTATAAAGTGTGTAAATCTAATATGGTTAGACGGTTTCATATTCCAACGATGCCAACATTTCAATTTTGAATATTTTGTTCGAATGAAATTACTGAGAAATCATTATTTTATCAAGCCTCAGTTTACTGCTGTTAAAGGAACCGCCACTGACAACCAAACCGAAATTAATATGTCATTTAAATCAGTTTATTTGAATTTACGTTTCTTGAATTTTTAACGTTTTCCACAAGCTAAATATATGGCGCTAAAGTTTTTGTAAACACAGTGTCACAGCTATAATTTTTTCTTGATAAAACTTTGTGTGAAGATATTTAAAATTTAAAACACAGTTTGCAAATGATAAAAGGGAAAACGCATCCAAGTTGAAAATTCTAGGTAAATTAAGTACACAAGTTTTATAAAGCGAGCTTTAGTTATGCAACGTTACGTTTTGTAACATAAAACAGCTTTAAAAAAGCTGATTTTATTTTGTTTCCAATTTTAATACTTACTAAATTTTTAAAATTAACGAATGAAAAAAAAATTGCTATAATTTCACTTACTGTCTAGTTTTTAATTCCATAATTTATTTGGTACTATAAACTGACATTGCACCAGTCTTACAAATTTATATGATGTCGACAAAACTAAGTTTTATTCTTAACTGTTTTGTGACCTTTTGAAATGATAAAAATTAGTGTTGCTTACTTATCTTCATAATAGTGCTAGGAAAATCACATGTACTTACGTCGTATACATCAACGACGAAATTGTTTTTAACAAATAATGAAAACTATTAATGCCGAATAGGCATATTGAATTATACGGTTAAATTAATTTTCAGACATTTATAAACAGTACACATTGAATAATGGTTTAATTTCACTCGACTTAATAAGAACAAAACAAACCTCAATACTTCTAGTCGAATAATAATTCAGTCGTTAGATATTATTTCGTAAGAGGTTACTTTTCTCGCTAAGTAAAATCGATTGCTGTAAACTGTGTTACAGTGATAATTTAATTTCTTAATCCTCGACGAAACCCTGAGAGACTCCAACACGGTTTTACTTTCTCGTCAAGGATAAAATGTGCATTTATCTTAATATTCAAGTTGCTGACTATCGCTTTACTTGGGCTTCCCTACCCTACAAGGGGTAAACTTTGCAATTACTATGTTGCATAACAATGTGTGTGATGTGACATTCTTGTTTTAAGTTGGATTTACCCATTTTATGCTTTAATAACGTAGTTATCAGGCATCCTATGCAAGTGTAATAATTTTGCAGATGAGATAGCAAGTTTGGCAGCTGCTGCTGAAAAGAAACGTCCTGCAGAAAGAACCGAACGAGAAAAAGTAGCGATAATGGGGAAGCCACGTCTTGGAAATATCGTAAGAGCACAAATAAGAATCAAAGAGAGCAAGGAATTCCGAGTAAGCAGTTTTACAACTTGTATTTTGATTGTGTATTTAGCTGATTTGACTGTACGATTTTAGAATACTGTAGATAAATTAGTGCAACGAGCCAATGCGTCTTTGCTAATTGGGACGTCGTCTTGGAAGGAACAGTTTATTGAAGCCATAACTGTAAGCGCCAGTGATGAATCAGACCAAAAGAAACCGTCTGGACTGGACTATATCATGCATGTCGTCACACTCTTCTGGAAAATTTTATTTGCTTTTGTGCCACCCACAGGTACTCTCATCATTTGATCTATTGCCTTAAATTTATTCACTTTGTTTTCATTAATGCACATGTTGTTTTTTGTAGATTTGTGCAAGGGATATCTTTGCTTTTTCGTATCAATTCTATGCATAGGAGTAGTCACAGCTGTAATTGGAGATGTAGCTTCACATTTTGGTGCCACTCTCGGTATTGCGGACTCGGTCACAGCTGTAGTTTTTGTAGCTCTGGGAACAAGTGTTCCAGGTAAGCATTAATAATCCTTTAAATTGTTTTAGATTCATTTAATACATTTCCATATCAAATGTCTATCAGCGCTTTTAATTTCTTCTTTCTTTTCTTCATTTTAGAATGCTTCATAAGTTTAAAGTAAATATTTGAACCTCTATTGTTTTAAAATATTCAAAGTTTGGATTCTTTGTACGGATAAATATTTGTTTTTCTAGGAAATTTTAATTGAACAGCTATGAAACTTGCATCTCTTGAAACATGAAATATACCATTTACATAGTAACAGTATGTTAATCAAGAAATCCACTTGTGTTTTATATTTCGCTTTTATCCTTATTATTATAAGTTTTAAAACACGATTTTAAAAAATAAAATGAAAATTAACATTTGTTGTTTCTTGTGTACTATAATACAAGAAAGAGGATGTCCGGAAAGTTGAGTACCTCCGTGACACTGTATAATTAGGCGGTGCAATAGACAACAAGAATTTTTTTAAATCTATCTATAAAAATTTCGAAGTTATTAGAGTTTAAATTTTGCACTTTGACTCTATTTATTTCAGTTGCAAAAATAATTTTCCAAGTTTTTTTGCTTCAGGCTATTAGAACTATTAGAAGAGGAAACAAGGAAGCTGTATGCTAAATTGTAACTCTGTTTAATGTCATTTGTGGCTTTTATTGGTCAAATTTGTTTACTTTTACTAAATAATTACTAAATACTAAACAGTTGAAATATATTAGAGTACATATAAGTGACATTTTTTACGTTTTTAATTAGTTTTTAAACAAAACTCATCAATAGTAAACACTTTAAAAGAACAAACATTTTACTAACAAATTAACTCACGATTTTTGAAATAATTAATTCCAATTACAATAGTTTTTTTTCCAAAAACACCGTTGTTATGGGGTTACTTAATTGTTTTTATTAATAATGGCCTAGTCAGAACTTTATCGATCTTATATTTAACGTTTTTATAAATAGACAGTTGGAACAAAAAAAAAACATCTTTAAGATTCTGCACAAAATGTACTATTTAGATGTAAAAATTTGCATAACCTTGGTAATCGTAAAAAAAAGTTACAGCATAATTAAACCGTTTAAAGTTTGTATTTATTATAATTGTTGACGGAAACTGTTTATGATAACTTGCATGAAATAACAGAATTAATGAGTTTGTTCCCATTATGAATTTCCATTACCACCATTGGTTACGTCTCTTTTAAAGAGAACGTGAAGATCGACCTAATAGTCGCTTAATTTAAAAAAAAAATACTCCCTCCGTCCAGAAATAAGTGTCCGATTTCGATTTTTTTCCTGTCCAGAAATAAGTGTTTAAAAAGCATATTTTATTGAAACATAACAACAACTTAACTTAATTACAATACCATAACGTTTCAAAAAATCCAACTTTGGATTTTCTTATGGACGCCATATTTGATTTATGTATTTTTGAAAAGTCTTTTTGTTCCTGAATACAACGATTGGTTGATGAAATTGGTGCCATTTTTTCCAAAGCATTCTTTGCAAAAACGCTTTTTCTTAATTTTAATCAGTATGTAAAATTTGATCATATTGTGTGATACATCGTTGTAATCAGGAACAAAAAGACTTTTCAAAAATACAGAAATCGGATATGGCGTCCGTAAGAAAATCGAAAGTTGAGTGATTTAACTCTGACATCAAGAGCGCCTTGGAAAATACGATGACAGATTTAGATTCCTTGTAAAAAAGTACCTTAAGAACGTCCAAGTTAAAAACGTCTAAGTCTTTCAGTTTTTGCTTTATTTTTGAAAAAAAATAAAAACGAAAATTACAAATTTCTGTTTTTTTCCAATAATTCAAAAACTAAAAATGACACATTACATTACATAACTGAGATCCCATGGTGGAGCTCGAAAAACGAACATCTGTATATTTTTTTAAAGTTTTTATTTAAAGCTAGCTGTCTTGTACAAAGATGATGATGGTTTTCTTCACTTTCTAAGAGAACATTTAATTTGGTTTCATCGTTTTTACTTTTTTTTTTTACTTATAACAAAGATACAGGATTATTCATAAATATGAAACAATATTTGAACTTCAAAAATGTGCTATAAAATGATGTTAATTTAAATAATAACTCATGTCCTATCTCTACTGATAAGAATTTTACAGCCCTCGGAATGTGGGTATGAAAATTTGTGTTTGTTTTGTAATAACTTCGGAACCATTTGACCAAATATTATAAAATTTGGAATGGTTACTTGCGAGAACATACCTTTTAAACTAGTAATTACGAAAACCGGATACATCTACTCAATTTCCGTTTCCAACAATTGCAAGTCATATTTTCTGTTTTATCGTTTTTTTGGCCTCTTAACATTATTTTTTTTTTGATCAAAACAATAGAGTAATAATTTTGAATGAAAAACGCATAACCTTTAATATCTCTAAAATGGACCAGTTTAAAGATATTTTAATCTACACAACACTGAAAGCAAAAAGTATGAATTTTGAATGAGTGATATCCACGGCAACAAATGACCATTGTCACATATTTTCCTGTCAGGCATCTGTCAACTTTGACATTGGACGATTATTAAACAATTAATCGAAAATATTTAATGAAAGTATTTATCTCAGACTCCAAACATAACTAATAAATCCAAATGGATCTCGTAGCATTTAATTTATAAAAAATTCACAAAAATTTATCGTCAAAATTAACAGATGCCTGGCAGGGATTTATGTGACCATGGTCACTGGTTGCCGTGGATACCACTTATTCAAAATTCATATTTTTCATTTTCAGCGTTGTGCAGTCCTCACTTTAAATTAAAATATCTTTAAAACGACCCATTCTAGTGGTATAAAAGGTTGCGTTTTTTAATCGAAATTGATTACTCTTTAGATCTAAGCAATAAAAAATTTGTGTTAAGAGGTCAAAAAAAAAACGGAACAATACAGAAATTGTAACCTGCAACTACTGAAACCGGAATTTGAGTAGATATATCCAGTTTTCGTGATTATCAGTTTAAAAGGTATGTTCTCGCAAGTAACTATTCCAAATTTTATAAATAATTGGTCAAATGGTTCCAAAGTTATTACAAAAAAAAATTTCCTTCCCCACATTTCGAGGGCTGTAAAATTCTTATCAAAAGAGATTGGACACGAGTTGTTATTTAAATTAACATTATAGGTCATTTTTGAGGTTCAAATATCAAATATTGCTTCATATTTATGAATAAATAATTTTGTTCGTTGTGTATTTTATTTATTTTATGATTATGCTTAAGAAGAAAATGAATTGTTTATGTGATAACAAATAATAAAACCTTGTTTTCTCAGTTGTTTCCAATAAATTGAAGGTGTGTACGAGTTTGAAGGTGAAGAGAGTTGTAAATTACATTTAGTGAATTTGTAAAAAAACATTGTAGAAACTGATTAATATTAAAACTTACAGGTACTATTTGCCTATTTCAAAATTAAAAACCAAAAATCTAAGAATTGTTATTAAAAAAATAACTTTGAGAATTATTTCGTTGGTTAAAATTCCGTTACATCTTTTATTATAAATACTTAATTAAAATATTTAGGTGTTGAATGATAAGGTCCTATTAGTCAATTTATTGTCTTTCGTGAAATAATCTACGAGAAATGTGCATTTTTTAGCTTTATTTGCGTCATAAAGATTTAGAGAATTGTAAAAAATAAACCTCTGGGGTGTTTTCCAACATTTTATCCTCAGTTTTATCCTAGAATTATAGCAAATGGAGGTTTAAGACCAAAAATTCCGGTACATTGCAAGATAAACTGCTCTCTCAAGGGCTTTGCTAGCCGTTACAAAATTGATGTTCAAAAATGTCAAGCCAATGAACAAATCGATTTTATAGGTCATTTAGGTACTTGATAGCATGTTTTGTTAGCGTGTAAGGATTACTGCATGGTTTTGCATTAACAATCTGTCGCCAGCAATATTTAAAGTTTACAATTTGACACGCAACCAGTTTCGAGATATTTTTTTTTTTTAATGCTCGCAAAACAAAGGAGCTGCCATCACATATTGGATTTTCTATTCCAGATACATTTGCCAGTAAAGTAGCAGCCATCCACGATAAACACGCCGATGCCAGTATTGGAAATGTTACAGGAAGTAACGCCGTGAATGTGTTCCTTGGTATCGGCGTAGCTTGGTCAATCGCTGCCATTTACCACGCCACCAAGGGTGCAAATTTCAAAGTAAAACCGGGGAAGTACGTTGGCAACGTCCTCAATAGAGTTTTATCTTGAAAAATGCCTGTTTTCAGTTTGGCATTTTCCGTGACGATATTTTGTTCGGAGGCAGTCATTACAATAATCGTCCTGTTGCTGCGGAGATCGCGCATGGTGGGCGGCGAACTCGGAGGACCAAAGTGCCTCAAGTATCTAACGTCTGCTTTCCTCTTCTCACTGTGGATATTTTACTTAATTATGACAACGCTGGAAGTTTATCATGTCATTAAAGGGTTTTAGGATGTGTGTGCACTCGGCGACTAGTCTCGCATAAACAACGAATAAACTACTCAGCAGAATTGATTGTGGCATAACTACCTACATAATTAAGGTAACCTAAGGCTTTTCACGGTTTCAATTTACATGTACTTAATTAATTACTTCTCTTTCTTCGTCAACAACGCAATAATGTATCTCAAATCACAGCAAATGTGATTACTCATTAGTCCACTCACGTTATTGTCAGCTTATCGATTTTGTGATCGCCATCTCGGGCTAACAAGTAGACTTAATTTATGCCTTAAGCAAACGACAGGCCTGCCAATGTAGTACGTTATATTTTTATAAACTGAGTTTTAAACCAGTCAAATTAGAATTTGGGTTTCAAAAAATTGACAAATGAACAATTACAACAAAAATTCCACCTCAAGATATGTGAAAACAAAACTACAATACAAAAAAATATAATACTACTTTATTCATATTTTACTCTTTATACACAAAATTTATAACTACTCGTATTTAAAATTTATATAAAAAGGCAAAACCGACAATGATTCTCATTCTCCATTTTTTTAAGAGTCTAACTTGTCTCATTCTAGATAACAAATCAATCGTTTATCAACATTCAAAATTTTTCTTTATTTAAGTAATTAAACATAAAACCGCAATAGAAATTTAAAAGCAAAACAAGACAAACAATATTATATTATAATACTAGTTTATAAGCAAGTCTTTAAAACACGCACGACGGGTTTAAGAGCACGACACGTCAGCGGAGTGCTTTTAACGTCGTAAGTGTTTTAAAGGCGCTTATAAACGAGTGTTATACGCTATTTTTTATTATACCTGCTCATTTACGATCTTTTATGAGCATTGCAAAAATGTGAATTTACACAATAAAATTATCAAAGGTTGTTTGTGAATCGTTTTCGTAGAGACGGTTACTAGTTTACGTTGTTAAGCACATTTTTTAACGTTTTAATTGGTCCAGACATTTTACTATCTCTTGTTACCTAGACAACTAACCGAACCTGACTCCTAGCTGATAGACGAAACACGTACCAATTTAAAAAAGTGTTCAGTTATTTCTTACTTAATTTACTTTTTTGTTTTTTATGTCCTTTTATTAAGTGATCTTTTACTATTCTGGAGCACATTTTTCCAATTATTGTTTTTCAAAGCATTATAGCTTATTTATTGTTTTAAGTTTGACCCTACAGATATAGAATTACTGCCAATAATTAACTTAAGCTATTTTCTTCAACTTTTGCGTGTATTTCTTCTTTTTTCTTTGGAATTTTTGTTGTAAAAACAACATTTTTGTTTATTTTGAAGCAGAAATATGTGAAATTCGACTGGAGATACAAGAAAGTTAGTTTTTGTTTGGGTTTTGCGCATTTTTCTTTAATTAGTACGCACTTTGAAAATTAATGCTGGATAATGTTGACTAGACTTAGTCTGATTTAGCCTTAGAGTAAGCGAGTGTTCAAATAACATTATATAGCCTACAAAGACTACCTTAACTTTAAAATTTAAGAATAGTGTTGTGAGTTGCACTGTTATATTTGTGTAACATAATACTTAATATGTAACATCCCGAATTCGGTAACTTCGTTTCTGACGTCCATTCCGTTTGCAAATGGCGAAGTGCCATATTTGGGGCGTTGTATAGTCATAATTCTAGTCATGTTAGTTGATAGTGTGCAATTTACAAAACAGTGATTCAAAAAGACCACGACAGTAATGGGAATTCAAATTATACACAAACGAATTAAAATCAAAAGGCTGACGAAAGGAACCATTCGGTAGTAAATTCTGACTGTGTACTGTAGGTAATGCTATGTTTAAAAATGCCATCTCACACACATTAAATTTTTTATATTTTTGTGTCGCCCAACGACTGACTTAAAAAATTACGAAATCAAAAACATGATCACAGTGGGAGTGGATGTATTTTTAAAAATACCATTACATCAATCTTAGATTTTGTACACTTACTAGAAAATCAAAATAGATAATACATCTGAATCTATAGCTTTTGTATGGCGGATAGATAGTCTTAGTGAAATTTGTAGTCACTACGCTATAATTTGATTCTTCCCATCTGATTCTGATGAAGAGGTAAAGCTGGAAAAGGATTCCTTTAATGTAAGTCTGGAGATAATACTTCCACTAGTTAGATACATGTTGTATCTGATTTTGTTGCTTTTGTTTCCATTGAGTTCCAACAATTTGAGTTGAATGAGGCTAGAACAAAACGGAATTTATTAATTTCCTATCATTTATTGGGAACAAACGTCGACATATGTCCGTAAGTAATTGGTGTAGCATTCAATGGAATTAATTGGCTGGCTGTCAGTGAAACGAAGTGGTGTAGAAGAAGAATGAATTTAAAAAAATACATGTGGGAACGTTTATTTTTAAATTATTTAAATTATTTACACCACTTTCATTGTCTACACTCGTAATTATTTTGGTTGTGTTCATTCGGAGAAATCTACTCGTTGCACAAAATTTGGCCTAAATCGTCATTGGCTGTTTCTCTATTTGTTGTAGCTATATGTAAAATAAATGTTTGTCGAATTGTTGGAATTCTATTAAGTGTTCTGTGTTGTCTGTAGTTTGTTATCGAATGTTTTTGGCGAAACGGAATTAAATGAATTCACTCCAATCCCGATTAAATGCGTGTTATGGGCTTCCAATAGTTATCCATGAATTGTTTATTTAATTTAAATTTTATATTTGTTTTACGAAGAACGCAAACTGTTCGTTTATTACAAATACGAGATTAAATTAAACTGTGATTTCATTTATTGCACCTATGAGCAGAAGGAAGAAACAATTGAATTGTTGTTTTTTTAAACTATAATATGGGATCACAAATTAATTTAATCAATATGTGCGAAATTCATAAACCATATTCGTTTACTTTTTTAACCAGAGGAACCTTTTGCAATTACATATTCCCTAATTTAACCAAAGGACGGAAATCCTAATTAAGTAATAATTAAATCGCCTTACCCTCAGAAAAAAAAACATTTTACGTTGAGTGTAATAGACTAGACATGGTCTTACATAAGAGTAATGTTAGGTGTTGATAAATTTATATTATTTTTTTATGATTTGTAGTTTAGGTAAGTACCTACATATCTTTGGCACAAGAGTGCAAGCCAAATGAACCAAAAATATTATAGAATGGATATTATTGCTAAAATTGTTGTCATTATAGTTAAGTTTAAGCAAAGAATGTTCGATTTAATAAAACATGTACCTAGTTAAAATAGAGCTTTATTAACCTACCTTTTCTCCTTATACCTAATTAAATCGAAATGTGTATAGTTTCGAGTTTGGATAGTTTTTTTTTGAATATAATGAATGTTGTTATTAAACTATTTTGCACTAATATCTTTACATAAAATAATGTGCTTAGATTTTTCTATATTTACTAAAAAAACATATCAAAATAAAAAAATAGTTATTAGACAACTTGGTCGATATTTATAAATGTGAAAGTAAAATTCAACAATGAAATCTAATGTCAAAGATTGTTAGCAACCAACAACCGCCGATATACAACAATGGATGTATTTTTTTATCATCTAGACGATAAAATTTCATTTTAACATGAAGAAAAAAGTAGATAAAATTCAATTTTACCATAGGGGATTGAATAAAAATTATATAGGACTTTGATAGATAACTAATCTAGTCTATCGTCTATAATTGTTTTTATCTATACAGCTTGTTTCAAAAATAAGTTTTTTTAATTTGCGTTTATAATACGTTTATTAACGTCTCCAGTAGGAGTCGTTTATAGCTATCTATAAAAGCACAATGTGCTTTAATGAATTTAGGGTTATTTAGTTTTTGGATGCCGCTTTTGACTTGTCTGGTAACAAATTTTGCATTGTTGCTTCGGCAATTTCGCGAATTTCGGGCGGAGTGCAAACTAAATTATGTTTCTCATATTTTATTTATTATTATTATGTTGTAACACTAATAACTAATAATTTGTAATTTTTATTTTTAATGACAGACGGCAGAAATGACTCAAAAAAACAGGTGGGCGTCGACTGTTACCAACCGATACCAACTAACACAAAATTCTCTAGGCGACAAAAATATATATTTTTTTAATTAAAATAAGAAAAAAGGGGGCGCAAATTAGAAAAAATAGCATAAAATACTCGTTTTATAATGGCATTGGCGCACTCATCCCATAGAAAACTCGCCTACGGCTCGTTTTCTAACTTGGGATTCGTGCGCCAAATCAACCCTTATAAAACTTGTTCTTTAATATACTATACAATACAAACTGTTTTTTTTTAATGAAACACTATATATTTCTTAGCGCTTTTGGATGTATGTAGATTTTTATGACAATGTTTTTAAGCTAAACTTTTATTTTGCTTAGTTTTAAAAATAAGATGGTTTTTTGTCGAAAACATGCACTTTTAAAAAATTTATTACACAAAAACTTAAACATCTAGAAATATTTTTTTATTACCACAAAAAAGAAGGTACAAGCTATAAGGTTGTTACATTTTTTTAGTGTGTTGCATTTGCTAAGATAAAAAAATTAAGGCGTTTGTTTTAAGTTCAATAACTTAAAAAATTTAAATGGTAGATCCAAATTATTGTTTTTGCATTTAAAAGATTATTAAATTGTCTTTCTAAAATTATTTACTTTTAGGTGTTTACAGTTGTTTCAGTAGCCAAAAAGTGCACAGTTGCACAAAATTTGGAAGAAATATCACTTAATAATCACACTTGTCTTAAACTGAATCCATTATTTTTTATTTAACAATGCTCAGATATTGATAGGCATTATTGCTACAATTATTATTGAAAGTAAAATATTTTTTATTTATCAATTTTAGACATTAAAAGTTTATTTTTTTAGATAGACAATTTATCATTCTATTAAATGCAAAAATAAAAAATAGGATGTTCCATTTAAATTTTTTAAGTTATTTAACTTTTAACAAAACTAAGCGAAACCGACTAATAAAAGTTTAACGTAAAAACATTGTTGTAAAAGGCTGCTACAGCCAAAAATGCGAAGAAACAAACGGTGTTTCATTTAAAAAAAAACACAAGTTAGTATTGTAATTTATTTTTGAGACATGCTGTATGGTAGAAAATAATTTTAGGTGATGCAGTAGATTAGTGTCCTATACATATTTTTTTAAAATTTTACCACTTAAAGGTCACTAATGGACTTTTTCAACTTGCTGGGACACTCTGTATTTTGCGAAGCAAAAGCTCTTTTATCAATACCTACCTTCCAACGGAAAAAGATGAACAATTTTATTACCAAAATACCTAAACTGTTGTTTCAAAAAACTAAATATCAAGCCTGTCAATTTAATAGTAATTGCTCTCATAAAAAACTCGTCCGTTAATTACTGTTTTTTATTTTATTACCTATTTAAAAAAACCGCGTCATCCTTAAAAAAAATCGAATTAAATTGACAGTTAGCGTTTTGCGCATGCGTTTACAGTTCAGTGACGTTTCTGACGTTTGTAAATGGCAACCACCCAGTTGTCATTTACGAATCGGTTATTATAGATTTTTTTATAAATAAATTTAATAAAAATGAGTACGAAGACAGAAAAAGACAAGACAAAACAGTTGCAGGACAAATGTCAATCAGTTCTAAACGGTCTTCTTCGGGATGAAGATAACAAATATTGCGTGGATTGCGACTCAAAAGGTATGCTTCTCTGATATTCATCTAATAAAACATTTAATTTAAATCAGTTGATTGTTGATATTACTGAACGACGTGGCATTTTTCACCCACGTAAATATTTTTTCATTTACAATGAATAATTTCACAGCCTTTTTATTATCTTTAATAGCCTTCAGATGTAATAACTAGATAAAGGCATCTGGTTTTTTTCATTTATTGAGAATAATATTTTGTGTGATAATCGATACTATTTTAGGTCCGAGATGGGCTTCCTGGAATATTGGAGTATTCCTATGTATACGATGTGCCGGAATTCATCGAAATTTGGGGGTCCACATTTCAAAAGTAAAGTCAGTCAATTTAGACACGTGGACCCCAGAACAGGTGGTTTCCTTACAACAAATGGGGAACTCCCGTGCCAGAGCAGTATACGAGGCAAACCTCCCTGACAATTTTCGGCGTCCACAGAACGATTCTAGTCTTGAATCGTTCATCAGAGCAAAATATGAACACAAAAAGTACATAGCCAGAGAATGGGTGCCCCCAGCTTTGCCAAAAGTCAACTGGGAGAAAGAAATCGATGAGGAGATCGAAAAACAGAAAAGAAAAAAGAAAACCGTCGTTGAAAAGAAACCCGTAGCTAACGTGGAAGTGCCCCAATTGCCCAAACCTAAAAACCCCAGTCCCAAGCCAGGCCGTGTCACAAACACCCCAGAAGCAAAGAAAGAAAACGATCTGTTAGGGTTACAAAACGGAGAAGACAGTTTTAGCGGCTTCTTATCAGCTCCTACTGCAGAAATAAAAAAAGAAGATGACAAATCAGCGAAAAGCGAAGAAGAGAGTTTCTTTAACCAAACCGCGCCAACAGAAAAAGAGAAAGTCAAACTCACGAAAGATAGTATTTTAGCACTTTATAGTAGCACACCAACAAATAACTTTAGCCAGTTCCAAAGTCAGTTGCCTTACCAAGGGAATTACCCGCCGCAGAATTTCCAAACTTTCGGAGGGTATCCGCAGCAACCTGTGGGACAGTTCCCCCAATGGGGGGCCCAGTCGCAGTTTCCTGTTCAGGGCCAAGTACCGGCAGCCCCTGTTACACAATTCCCTGCGACTAACCAGTTCCAGAAGGGCCAATTCGGTAATTTCCCCAATAATCAGTTTCCCACAGGGGGACAGTTTGGACAATTCCAGCCCGGTATAAATTCCGCGCAAACGCCAAATCCGTTTTTTGCAAATCAGAACGGTTTGCAACAACAGTTCGGCAATTTGAGCTTAAATAATCCACCTGCTGCTAATGTCGCGCCCACACTGGCTACTAATATATGGCCGTGAAAAATAACTTAATAAATATTTAACTTATCTCAGTTCTTTTCTCCTATTTTGTTGCTCACTATTATATGTTTCTAGTGATATTATGAAAAGTGTCTATTTTTTTATTATGTTTTCGGTATGTGAGTTACATTACAGAGCACCACGGTGTTTTATCTGATTTGTAAATTAAAACTACAAAACGTTTTATTGGGTGTTGCAATATTTTTACATGAGAGGATTTATTCTAAATAAAATTATTAAGTGCATTGTATAAACCCTGTAATGTTAGATGTTTCGAACGTTTTGCATTTTTTCCTCTACCTCTAAGACTGTTGCAGGTTTTATGTTATGTAAGTTTGACACGAAATTATGTATTATTACATTCTACTTTTTTAATTGGAAATACATAAACATTTTTATTGCTTATATATGTTGTAAGTAAATTTATGTCAATACATAAAAGAATACGAATAAATTCATTTAAAATGCAAGTCTTTCATTTCATTTATTTTATTTTTGTAATTTCCTTATTTGTTGAATTTTTATTCTCGAAATTCAACGTTGGGTGCGAAGATTGCATTATTACAAAGTGTGCCAATTGTGTAATTTATTATGTGTAGGCAATGATTATTATTATAATTCAATTTTGTACTAAGTATATTCAGCATTCTAAAGCAAAATATTTTACAAGTAAGCACAACACATTGATTTTATTATTGAGCAAGTTTGCAAAGAACCATGTGAAAAATTAAAATTTGTAAACAGCAAGTTCTGAAACATAGGTACCACAAAAAATGTTTCAAAAACAAGAATTATTTAGGTCCTTTTAGCATCTTGTAACAATATAAGTTAACTTTAACAATTTTCACCCACATTAGGGATACCGTTTCAACAAAATTTATAATATATGTTGAAAATTAACAACGTGAGTCAGAATCTAAGGAAATTTAAATGTTTTAACAAGTTAAATTTGAAAATCTGGTAAATTTAAGTTTTTCAACTTGTATTATTCTAATACTAGTAAGTTTTGAATTAGAAGTTGGTACAGAAAACGAAAGAATGATCTGCTGAAGAAGAAAAATATTATTATTTTAATATTATTAAAAAAAGATAAGTACATTACCAATGCATTTAAACTACTGATTTAAAATTGATTTTGCACCCTGCGGTCTTTTTTTAAACGATTGTGATGGTACACCAAAATAATTAATTTTTTAATTGACAATGTTTTGTTTTTCACGTGCAGTGATGTTAGATAACGTTAATAATGTTGATAATTGTTACATTATCGTGTAAGCGATTTCGATTGTAATAACCTTGAATAATATGGAGCGTAGTGAAATCGGAACCCGATCATATTTAATGTTTATTTTGGTAAAAACAAAGCAGTCGGGATTAGATGACGATTCCGACTAAAAATGGGAGAGGCCATGTAGGGTTTAGGGCAGAATGAGTTGAGCCATCAAATTGTGAAATCGAAATAGTGTGAATATAGATTTTGTTATTAAAAAGTGTGTTTTATTAAATTTGATATTAAGCGAGTACCTACAGAGCAGCGATGGGATAGGTGACCTGTGCGTCTTGTCGCCTACGTGGCCAAAGTGGCCAATTGGGCCAAAAACTATTTTGTAGTGAATAGTAAACATTTTAAAAGTGTGAGAAGATACTGTTGAAAGGCACACGTAATGTATTGTGTGTAAATTAACAAGTGTACAGAGACTTAAGTTTAAGATAAGTTTTAAACCGCAACGTGCGAGTTAATTTAATTGTTACGTGTAAGTTAAGTTCAAATATTATTGATTCACGATGAACAAACGTAAAAATCGTAAACTTGTGAATGAAAGACACCGAGTACGGTCTCGATCACGTACTCCTGAAATTGACGAAAAGCGTCGTCGCCGAGAAGGTCGGTCGCGGAAACAGCGTTCGCTTTCGCGTTCGAATACGCGCTCCAGAAATGACTCACCGATTAGTAACGGAAAACAACTTCTACAGAGAGATGATGTCATCACTCCAGAACCTAGTGAACGGCATCAAGGAGCTGGGGTGATAAACGAAAATCAACCAACACAGGTACCCAATTCTGATATTATTTCAACAAATCAGTCCACGGATAGTACTCGCATAGAACACCTGGAGCGACTTGTTGAATTACTATTATCTGAAAGAGGTGTTCAAGGCCAGGGAAGTAGTTCCCAATTTATTGTGAAACCAGACTGTATTCCACTATTTAGTCCGGGTGATCCAAATTTATCATCCTCACGTTGGCTAGAAAAGATTGATCAGTTGGCTCAAATTAATTCGTGGAATGAAAAGACGATCATTTACCATATGCAAAGTCGTCTTGCTGGACTTGCCAAAACTTGGTATTACAATCTACCAAACTATGATTTAAACTGGGGACAGTGGAAAGAGTTGATACTTAAAACTTTTCCCGATCAGCGAGATTTTGCTAGTACGTTACGTAAACTCTTAAATAGAAATAAGCAATTGGACGAATCGTGGACCCAATACTACTTTGAAAAGATGGGTCTTCTCCAAGCGTGCGGCATTACAGGACCTAACGCGGTCTCTTGTGTAATCGATGGGATTCGCGATTTGACAATTCAGACTGGGGCACGAGCGGGAAGGTATTTAACACCAGAGGATTTGTATCGTGAATATTTGTCCACATTGGCAAATCAATCCTCATCAAAACATGTACCATTCTTACAAGCTCAGAGACGTTCTGTGCAACAAAGGCTAGGTCCAAGTTCCAGCAAAGAGGAAAAGCAAAAAAAAAAAAAGATACATTGCTCGATGCTATAATTGTGGTGACGGAACACATTTAGCATCAAACTGTCCCAAACCACGTAAAGTATGCACCTTGTGTAATCGTTTGGGACATGAAAGTGATGGCTGTACGAGAAAACAAACTTCCAAAAAGGTCATGGTGTGTTCAACTGTTGAGAAAAATGATGACAGCTACTTTGTTAACTGCAAAGTAAATGGTCAACTACTTCAGGGTTATATTGACACTGGTTGTAGCGTGGTTACTATACGTAAATCGGATGCAAAACGTTTGCATCTTGATTGGGAGCCATCTAATTTGACAATTAAAGGTTATGGGGGTGGCTCGACTAGAGTTCAAGGCCAAATAAAGGCACGTCTAGAAGTCGACTTGTTTGAAACAGAGGTCTCACTGTCGTGGATGATCATCTTCAAGCAGTTCCTGTCATGATCAGACAAACTTTTATTAACAAGGCAAACGTTGCCTTGGTTGTCCGCAACAATGAAGTCCGAATTTTTGATGCAAGCCTTATACAGTTACCACAAATTGATGACTTACCACCTGTCAAATTGAGCCTCTATTCAAAAGAGGATGTGAATATACCAGTTGACCAAGAAGTACCCGTGTGTGTTTGTTGCCAAGAACAGTACGAGGGGGACATTTATGTCACTTACGGACAACGTAACAAACCCAATAATGAATTTACAATTCCTCATTGTGTAATCTCAATTGTTGGCGGAATAGGAGTGATTCCTGTTCTTAACCATTCAGGACAAACCCTGCAGCTGAAAGCTTCGCAGCTATTAGCAAGAGGGCATCCATGTACAGAAGATACCTCCTGGTCCACTTCCAGAACCACTCTTGAGGAGACGGTAAGTGTTTTTACTGTAATAAGTGAAGCGGAAGACAAGTATTTCACGAAAGATGACATACAAAATCAAATTGATTCCGATTTGGATGAAAACCACAAACAACGATTACTTAATCTTTTGAATAAGTATCGTAATTGTTTTGCTGCAAATACAAATGAATTAGGGAGGGCAGTAGACACTGAAATGAAAATTGCATTGACTGACGATGAGCCAATAACGTATCGACCCTATCGTCTTTCTTTTTCTGAACGCGCTAAGGTACGTGAAACCGTACAAGATTTGCTCGACAACAATATCATTCGAGAATCAAAATCATCCTACGCTAGCCCAATAATCTTAGTTAAAAAGAAGACGGGTGAAGTTCGAATGTGTGTTGATTACCGCAAACTAAATTCAAAAACCGTAAAAGATCGTTATCCTTTACCAAGGATAGATGATCTTTTGGACAGGCTTAAAGCAGCAAAGTATTTTATAAGTTTAGATCTGAAGATGGGTTATCACCAAATACCTATGGCTGCAGATTCAATAAACAAAACGGCTTTTATTACACCAGATGGGCACTACGAGTATCTTCGCATGCCTTTTGGACTTGTGAATGCACCGGCAGTTTTTCAACGCAAAGTGAACCAAGTGTTAGGTTCGTTGCGATTTACAACAGCTCTGGCGTATATGGACGATATTTTGATTCCGGCAGAGACAATCGAAAAAGGATTCGATACGTTGACACAAATACTAGACTTGTTTCAGTCTGCTGGCTTGACACTTCGTTTAGAGAAATGTAAATTCTTTTCTTTGTCAATTGAGTATTTGGGGCACGAAATTAGTGAAGGGGTGATTCGACCAGGAAATCGCAAAATTCAGGCGGTGGCTCATTTTCCGAAACCTACGAACATACATCAAATTCGCCAGTTTGTTGGATTGTGTAGTTATTTTCGGAAGTTTATCAAAGGTTTTAGTACAATTGCTGCTCCTCTTACATCTTTGACCCGTGCTGATGTTGCTTTCCATTGGGATGAATCTCAGGAAAACGCTTTTCAAACCCTGAGGACGAAGTTGACTTCACGACCGGTCTTAGCAATTTACGACTCTACACTCTTAACTGAAGTGCATACGGACGCATCAAAGTTAGGTGTTGGGGGCATTTTATTACAACAACAAAAAGATAAAACATTAAAGCCTGTTGTATATTTTAGTCGTCAGACAAGTAAGGAAGAACAACGTTATCATTCCTACGAATTAGAAACTTTAGCAGTTGTGAACTCACTTCAAAAATTTAGGATATATCTGATCGGTATACAATTTAAAGTTGTAACTGATTGTAATGCAATTCGAACAACTTTAACCAAAAGAGATCTGATACCACGAATAGGTCGTTGGTGGCTTGTGACCCAGGAGTTTGACTTCACGGTTGAATATCGTTCGGGAATGAAAATGCCACATGCTGACGCTCTTAGCCGAAATCCTGTGGAAAAAGCGTCGGATGATTTAATAGAAATCTTGATAATGAATGTTAAAGAAGATGACTGGTTATTGTCAGTCCAGTTGAAAGATGACAGATGTCGATTTTTACATGAAGTGTTGTCTAAAGAGCCTACAGATAAGGAAGAACAGCAAATCCATAAAGAATATGTCCTCCACAAGWATAGAGTTTTTAAGATTACACCTCAAGGAAAAAGATGGGTAGTAGCGAAGTTTGCTAGAAGAGAAGTTGTTATGTACTACCATGATCGGAAAGGACATTTTGCACTGGACAAAACTTTCGAAGCAGTTTCAAAGTATTATTGGTTTGCGAATATGAAGAAATACATTAAAAGATACATTGCTTGTTGCTTACCTTGTGCTTACAACAAAGAACAAACAGGAAAGCAACCAGGATTTTTACATATTATTGACAAAGGTCAGGTGCCCATGCACACTTTGCATGTAGATCATCTGGGACCCTTTGTGAAAAGTGTCCGACGAAACACTCACCTAATTACAGCAATTGATGCTTTCTCTAAATTTATTTTTATGAAAGCAGTAACGAGTTGTAAAACAGGACCAGCGATCTTATTTCTGAAAGGTATCGTTGAAACGTTCGGTGTACCTTACAGAATAGTGTGTGATCGGGGAACCTGCTACACAAGCAAAAAGTTTAAAACATTTTGCCATGATTATGGAATTAAAGTAATTCTAAACGCTACGGCAACAACACGAGCAAATGGACAAATGGAGCGATATAACAGGACCATCCTTGGTGCATTAAGCTGTTCGTCAGAACAAGAAAACAAATGGGATGAAAAGATTAACCAGATACGTTTTGGGATTAATGCAACAAAGAATAAAACTACAGGAAAATGCCCTTATGAGATGCTRATGGGCTATTGTCCACGTRGTGTAGATGATGCCTATTTGCTGAACAATCTGGMTGTAAATGAAAAACAGCAAGATATACAACRGWTACRAACAGAAGGTATTCAAAACACTGTAAAAGAGCAGAAGTGACAAAAGAAACATTTTGATTCAAAACGACGACCTGCTAAACATTATGAAGTGGGCCGACAAGTGTTAGTCAGAAAAGTCCTTCCATCAAACGATGGCAAAAGCAAGAAGTTGCTGCCAAAATACTCAGGACCCTACGTAATAACGAAAGTGCTTCCTCACGATCGTTATGTCATAGAAGATCTACCAGGCGCACAACGTGCACAAAAATTTTACAGTGGTGTTTGTCCAGTTGACAAATTGAAACCATATGTGAACGATATGTCAGACGATGCTTTTACAGCATCATCAGAAGATGAAAGTATTAATGGTCTTCAATCCAAAAGGATTGATCTGGTTGGGTTTCAGTGGCCCGACAACTAATATCAGCGAAGTGCTGAAGAGGCTAAAGTAGCCCAATATTTTCATTGGCAACGTGCTGATGATTGGGCGCACGTAGCCCATCATTTGAAATTAGCGACGTGCTAATTGGGCTGACGTAGCCCTGTATTTTAAAGATTTTCATCGGCAACGTGCTGATGATTGGGCGCAAGTAGCCTACCATTTTAATGTAGCAACGTGCTACCTGGGCTGACGTAGCCAAGTATTTTAACGATTTTCATCAGCAACGTGTTGATGATTGGGCGCACGTAGCCCGTCATTGTGAAGCAGCGACGTGCTGATTGGACTGATGTAGTCCTGATTTAAGTTAATTAGCAATGTGCTGATTGGGCAAAGGTAGTCCTATGAGTTCATGTACAAGTTTTCATTAGCAACGTGCTGAGCGAGCTGACAAAGGCCTACGCTTCGCCTACGCAGCTCTACGTTAATTTTCAGTCTTATTAACCAACATATTGAGCTCACGTAACCATCCTTTGGCTCACGTAGCTCTATGTTCTTTCAGCTTTTCATTAAACTTTCAGGTATTGTATTTTAGGGTTAGACCCATGTATAAAGCTCTACGAGGGCGTAGAGCAAGGGTCGCATGGCCGACTGTAAGCGATTTCGATTGTAATAACCTTGAATAATATGGAGCGTAGTGAAATCGGAACCCGATCATATTTAATGTTTATTTTGGTAAAAACAAAGCAGTCGGGATTAGATGACGATTCCGACTAAAAATGGGAGAGGCCATGTAGGGTTTAGGGCAGAATGAGTTGAGCCATCAAATTGTGAAGTCGAAATAGTGTGATTATAGATTTTGTTATTAAAAAGTGTGTTTTATTAAATTTGATATTAAGCGAGTACCTACAATCGGTGTAAATATGTAAAAACTGAGTTGTGTACATGTGACTATCAACATTCTACTAAAGTCTTAATTGTTAATTGTTTTTTAGGGGACTTTACACAGGGTAATTAAAAAATGTCGGACCAAAATATTGGCGATAGAAGACTTTCAGCTAAGCATAAAAATGAATTCAGATTTTTGTTTCAAGCTTTTCTTTGAAAAAACAAAACTGTCAATTTTTATATTATCATTTATTTTTTAGGTAGGCTTCTTAGTTTTTTGTCTCTGATGTTAGATTTAATTTTTTGTTGTTTTTGCTAGGTGGTTTGTTAAATGATTTTTACACCAAAAGACACAAATTGGTGATTTTTTTCAACAGGTATCTGCTGTTCAGTCTTACAAGATCTGCCGTTTCCGCTGACTAAATTTTAAGATTACATAATCGGAACGGCCAAAAACTTAATCCAAAATCTAATCTTTGAAGAGCTATACAGGGGGTTATTCATAAATATGAAGCAATATTTGAACCTCAAAAATGACCTATAAAATGATGTTAATTTAAATAATAACTTGTGTCCTATCTCTACTGATAAGAATTTTACAGCCCTCGGAATGTGGGTATGGAAATTTGATTTTTTTGTAATAACTTTGGAACTATTTGACCAAATATTATATATTAAATATCAAAATCCCTACTTTTTGGTTTCAGTGTTGTGCAGTCCTCAGTTTAAATTAAAATATCTTTGAAACGGTCCATTTTAGGGGTATTAAAGTTTATGCGTTTTTTATTCGGAATTGATTACTCTATCTATTTGGGCAATAAAAAATTGGTGTTAAGAGAGCAAAAAAATGGAAAAACACAGAAAATGTGACCTGCAACTGCTGGAACCGGAAATTGAGTGGATGTATCCGGTTTTCGAGTTTACCAGTTAAAAGGTATGTGTCACAAGGAAATGTTCCAAATTTTATAATAGTTGGTCAAATAGTTCCAAAGTTATTACAAAAAAATCCAATTTCCATATCCACATTCCGAGGGCTGTAAAATTCTTATCAGTAGAGATAGGACACGAGTTATTATTTAAATTAACATCATTTTATAGGTCATTTTTAAGGTTCAAATATTGCTTCATATTTATGAATAAGCCTGTATATCTCGTGAAAAAAGGCTCAAACAATTTTTTGTCATGGGAAGTTTTAACTTAGTTGGATGCCCTTTATCACCACCCAAGAGATGGTCCGTGAAAAATGACAATACTTATCTACTGAAAAAAATTTCAAAACAGAAAACAGATTTTACAAAGTTGGCGGGCCGGGATAAAGACAGTCAAGTTTATTCAAGATTTATGAAAAATAAAAAAGTAAGAAGGTTTGTGATGGGCTAAAAAGCCCTTGATGTTCTTTTTAAAGACTTAAAGTCTTTGATATTGTAAAGAGACCAAACCTATGAAATTAAATTGCGGTCAATAACACAGACTCTTCGGAATTCATAACGTAAACACAATTAGAGCAGGCGACGAGTTTTTCGCGGAAGACTTAAAATCTTAAGTGCGTTTTATGATTCTTATGATTCACTAAATATTCGCGCTAGACTGTCCTTGCCCTGTGCACTGGAGAGAACCCATCGCAAGAGATGACGTGTTATTCGCCCTATAAAAAGGAAGCGCGAATATCGCTAGGGGATCAGTCAAAAATCAGTCCTCTAGTCGAATCAGACTAGTTGTGTCAATTGAAGAAGAAGCTGCCAAAACATCCTGTGCCACCATCTGAGGCCAGAAGCTATCAGCCCAAAACAGCTTGATTGTTCTATTGCATAGTCATGAGCTGTAAGTTTTGATTTATTTTTACTTTGACTGTTCACGTTGCTCCGACTTACTATGCCGTACCATATTAGGATTTTATTGTGGATTTTCGAACGAAATGTCAACCGAAACCGTTATCAAAATTTCCTAATTATTTAAGTAATGTTTTGCTAAGCTAAAGCGCTTGGGCCGGGATGAACTTGAAATATAAGCGTGTTGAAAGACGGATAGGTTCATGAGTCAAAGCAATGACGACAGAGATTTGGTCTCTGGTTACAATTCACAAACCCCAAGTTAGGTTTAAGATATTAGTTTCATTTATCGTTTGTTTCTTATTGGAGTGTTAAGTTGACAAATGAAAACCAGAAATGTCATACGATACCAAATAAGCCTGATACAGCAATTACAATGTTTTTCCGAATTGAATAATAAATACCTTTTGATTGTTTTTCCTAATTTCGTTAAAGTCCATAGTTAGTGTAAAATTACTAATTTAATCAGATCTTTGTATGAAAAACGTACCATAATCACCATTTGTTATTTTATTCCAAATACATTAGTTTAATAATTAAATGTATTTTTAATTGACTGCACCTTACTCTCCTGAAATTGATTGATCTCACGGGTTGGCTGAGGTCCTACGTTCAAAGAAATTTAATCGCTCTGTTTGGTGGGCCACCGCTCGCCCAAAATAAAGGTAGGTTCAAAAAGTTGTAAAAAACTCAATAACCCGCCACAGGTTGCCTGGTAATATGGTAATATGGCTATATGGTGACGTCAGTGGAGTTTTGCTCGATTGCAGACTGCCAAATTTTGTTTTTAGGAGTGAGAAATAAGTATTGCACAACATGCGATAGAGAGAGTGTCGGGAAAACAAACTTCACAGTTCAATCATTTGTGTTTCAAAAATTATAAGGGACAATCCACTGCCATTGAAGCTGATGTGATTTTGGAAGGATTTCGCAAATCATTTGAGATGTACGGATTGATATGTGGAAAATTAATTGGAGACGGGGCTAGTAGTGTTTACAGAAATCTTCTAGAATCTGCACCGTATGGTCCCCAGTTTCACATTGAAAAACTAGAATGCCGAAATCACGTAATCAGGAATTACGTTACAAAATTAAATGATTTGAAAAATAATACTGCTTTTGACATTGAACAAAGAAAAATTTTAGGTGCTAAAATTGAAAAACTACGTACCGCTGTTACTTCTGCTATTGCTCATTGGACAAAAGATAACTCCAGTTCATTCAGTGAAAGAGTGACTAAGTTGCAAGAAAATATTACCAATGGTGTTTGGCATGTATTTGGCAATCACCGGATGTGCATCAATATTGTGCGGAAGCTATAAATTACGTTGTGAAGCCACAGCAGTTTCTTTGAATTCGAAACATGGAAGTTATCACAACGAAATTCAGAAACGGATTTTATCAAGGGGTATAGGCAAATATACTTCCAAATACTGTAAGAAAATCCAAAAAATCAAAGAAAGATTGCAGAAACGAAGCTATGGAAAAAATAAAAAAACTGCTGGGCCTGATTTGAATTGCGATTTATGCGGTGGCAATTTAGAGGACCTAGAAGAAAGTAAGTTCGATTTGTTGAGAAAAGAGTTTCAGAAAAAAGGAAAATCAGAATTACAGCGTCAAATTTTGGACGTGTTTTTAAATTAAGGAAAACCACCTCCACAAAAAAATAATAGAGAATCTTCTTTATGGAACTTTTTGTGGAAATGCAAATACCAGGTATGGTCAATGCAGTGAGAGCAAAGCAGTTACTGCTTTTGAAAAAGTTACCTTACTGAAAACAAAAGAAGTTGGTCTAATAATTTTTAGTTTTAGAAGACGACTCTGCACTTGTGGAAATTAAATGTCCAGTTACATCAAGAAATGTCACCCCAGAAGAAACCGTATACGATCAAAAAGGATTAAATTTGCCAATCTGGTAAATGGCAAAATTGAGTTGAAGAAAAATCATGCATATATGTAC